AACGTACAGTTTGCCATTAATAATAAAATCATCATAAAATTTAATTATTGAAATTAATTTAAAAATCAATATTATTGGTTACAGTCATTATTACTACAACGACTATAAAATAAATTATAGATAAACAAACAGATAATTTTATTGGTGAAGGGATTTTAATAACGGTTATTCTTTGCAACTAAAACTTTCAAGGTACGATTATTTAATAAAAGTAATAGTGCCACTCTTCTATCAGTTTCCAACCTTTAATGTAAAATATAGATTGATTAATAATTAGTTTACTTTAATTTAAGTGACAGCTTTAAAAATATTAATTGTATGTTATTTATTTAAAATTGCGATTAAATGTGAGTAGGTTATTTGCAATAGCAAAAGTAGTGTGATAATTTTCAAATAAACTAGGTCTTGTAATCTTTTTATAAAATCTTGTAACTAACAAATTATTGTTACTTTTTACAGTATTATCTCATTGTTTATATTTTAAGAGGATCCTATGAAAATCTATGAATGGATATTTTTATTTATAGAAATTGCATAAAAATTTTATTTGATGTGACTTGATAATTTAAATAAATAAAACTAGTCATAAAGTTAATATATTAAGCTGGTCAATGAAATTTTTAAAATCAGAAATTATTATATTATCACTTTCGCGAACCAAACAGACTTTTTCTAATATAAATTATTATCAATCATATCATAAAATATAAGTACAGTATATAAGTTATGTTATCATTAGTTATCACAGCATCACGAAATACTACATGTTATTAGATAATAATAAGTATAATATTATCGGTATTTATATTAAATGTTACGATAAATAAACACATTAACGCTTGAATTGCGTTTATAATATTTTATATAAATATAAATTAATTTATTTTGCGCATTTGTGCATTAGTCAAAAATGGTAATTTTCACTGGTGAAATTAAAAATCTATACGACTTTGGCAAAGCTATTGAAGGGGTGGCCAGGGGCTCACAAACACTTGACATAACCGATGAATGCCTGCAATTGTGTCGTAAATATTTGCCGGGAGTTTGGACTCAAGCGACCGATAATGAGATTCGCGTCACTCGTATGACCGGCGGACTCACGAATCAGATATATTTGTGTCAAATGTGTGATACTATAACTGATGGACAGTTAGGTCAACAGCCCCGGGATGTCATCATTAGACTGAACGGCAATACCTACGACCAGACGTTTCGTATGATAGATAACCCGCGGTTTAATGACTCGATCATAGCACTACTGGTGTCGCAAACGGGTATGTTATTTCATATTAATTTTAATCTTGATAATTTTGTTGATGCTAAATTTTAATTATTTTATATTTAATCAAAAAAAACTTATAAATACGCTCACAAACAAGTAATATAATTTTATAAAAGGCCTTCATATAATGCTATTGTGTTACTTTTACAATAAAACTATCAAGATAAAATTATTCAATAAAAGCAATAGTAACATTTTTCATGTAATATATAAGCAGAATAATATTTAGTTTGTTTTTATTAAAAGGACAGTTTTTAAAATAATAAATGTTTGCTCATTACTTAAAATTGTGATTAAATATGAATATTAAAAGTAATGTGATCATTTTAAATAAATAGGTCTTGTAATCTTTGTATAATTACTTTAATTCTTATTATAATTATATTTTTTATTAAATATATTGAATATATAATAATGAAAATAATAACAGTTGTATAACACATTTACCGAGCTAGATAATATTAAAATAAACAAGAATGCTAACAAGTATAACCAGGGAAACGCTTATCCAACATTTAATTTTAAACATAATTTGTTTAATTTATTTAAATACATACGTTTTTATTTAAATACATATTACTGTTGCATTAAAACTTAAATAAATAACATTAACCACTTGACATATTACATTTAAAATTATCCTGCTCATTATACTAAACATTTATATCATTTACAGGTTTAGGTCCTCAACTATACGGTATGGATCCCAGCGCCCAAATACTCCGGTATTACAA